GCCCCAACTTGGGATCTAACATGAAACTTTCTGGAGTCTGGAATGACGCTACAATCAACTGAGCCACCTAGCAGGGCAAGTATAGGGTATTTTAGTTCAACAAAAAGAGAATATCAATAAAGAGACAGAAATTATAAAAAGAAACCAAATAAATTCTGGAGCTAAAACATAGTAAGTGAAATGAAAAATTCACTGAATTCAACAGCACATTTGAGAAAGCAAAAGATAGAAGATGCAAACCCAAAGTCAGTCAATTGAAATTATCCAGTCTGATGAGCAGAAAGAAAAAAAATAAAGAAAAATATCCACAGAGCTTTAGAGATCTGTGAGATACCAAGTGGATCAACATACACAAAACGGGAGTCCCAAATAAGAGAGAAAAGGAAGAGAATAAATATTTCATAAAATAACGGCCACGAACTTTCCAAATTTGATAAAAGACATGAATTTACACAACCAGGAAGCTCAACAAAATCCAAGAGATACACATGAGACATATTGCATTCAAACTGCTGAAAGTCAAAAGACACTTGAGAATCTTGAAATCACCAAGAGAAGCAAGATATACTGTGAAGGAAGAAGAATGGGGAGTAACAGCTTAATGGGTATCAGGTGCTCTTTTGATGGTGATGAAATGTTCAGGAACTTAGTAAATGTGGTGGCCACAAAACAATGCAAATGTACTAAATGCCATTGAATTATACACTTAAAAAAATTAATTTTATGTTAGTAAGTGCACCTCAATTTGAAAAAAACTAACTTTATTTGCATCACTTGAACAAAATTTTCTAATCCATATATTTCCATCTTATTTTTCAGGCGTGAGTATTTGTTTTAAGTATTTATATATGTAGAACAAAGATAGAAACTCAGAGAGTCCAAAATGCATGTATTTTGAAACTACATCTCATCCCTTTCACTCCATTTGCCTTTCCAAAAACTACTAATGTTCCTCATTGTTCTGTATTCTTACAAGTATGAATATAGATTTGCTTTAAAGCTATTTGCTTTGGACTATATACACATTGTCAATCTGAGCCATCCTGTTCTCAAATATTGTCTTTCCTAATTTTTTTTATTGTTTTCATTCTAGAGTAAAATTAAATCTAGTTCTCGCTCTATTTCTCATCTTTTCTCATATCTTCTACCTTTTTCTTATTTCTTAATATTTACTTTTCTTTTTGCAAACTTCAAGGATTTTTATTTTCTATGTGATATGTGTGTGTGTGATATGTGTGTGTGTGTGCGTGCGCATGTGTATAAATATATATATATATATATATATATATATATATATATATATATATACTAATAAAAGAGTAAAATGATATTATGATCAATGAAGTATGAAAATGTCCTGGAAATTGTCAATGGATTTTGAAACATTGACAGTACCTTCGCGACACCCACCAGCCAACCAGGAGTATGCAAATTAGCCTAACAAAGGTGGTGGGTTAATTTGCATATACAAAAGCAGAGTGGCTGGGGTGGGGTGGGACGTTGATGACGCAGGCATTTCGCACTGCCCTAGCTGCTCTGGGCCTCTGAGCAGCGTGGGAAGGTGAAGGCGGTGCCAACAGCAAGAGGAAGGAAGGCTCATTCTTGCATGAATCTTCGTGTATCAGGCCTCTAAGTCTATATAATAAAAGGTTAAGCTACCATTATGGCACAATGACACACACTGACTACCAGGGGAGACGCACCGCAGAGGTGGTGGTTGGTGGCAGGAGCTTCTCTCACCTCTACAGCAGCTCTAAGGAGCAATGAACCGAGCGGTAAGGAGAGAGTAGGTGGTCAGTAAGGAACAAGAGATCCTGGATTGTGAGAGGGATCCTGGACTGCAAGAGGGCGCAGGCTAGGTTGAGGGCCCTGCCCAGTGCATGAATTTCGTACATCGGGCCTCTAGTATATATAAAAGCCTAAGAAACTGTTGTACGGTAGCTATGACCCACATTGACCACCAGGGGGCAGATGCTCAACGCAGGGCAGAAACCACAGGCATAGAAACATGGAACAGACTGATGAATCTCAGAGAGAAGGGGAAAGAGGGAAGGATGGGAAGAGATTAACCAAAGATCTTATATGCATACCAGAGGCCTTGTGCATGGATTTGAGCTGAATCCATGCACCAGGCTTTCAGCATTACCCAAGGGATCCTGGATTACAAGAGGGCACAGGCCAGGCTGAGGGACTCCACCGGTGCACAGATCCATATATATATATTATTATTGAAAGTATTACCTACCATGTTTCCCCGAAAATAAGACATCCTCCGAAAATAAGACCTAGCGCATGGAACGATAAGACACCCCCTGAAAATAAGACCTAGCACAACTTTGGGAGAAAAAATTAATATAAGACACTGTCTTATTTTCGGGGAAACAGGGTATGTCCCCTTTTATCCCTACTGACATCTTCTAGCCGGCCCCCAGGTCCCACCCCAGGCCTTTACCACATTATTATTGTCTGTGTCCATGGGTTATGCATATATGCATACAAGTTCTTTGATCTCTTCCTACCAACCTATCCACTCCGGCCTTCCCACTGAGAAAAAATATACAACATTTCACAAATTTGTGTGTGATCCTTGCATAGAGGTCATGCTACTCTTCTCTGTATCGTTCCAATTTTAGTATATGTGCTGCCGAAGAAAGAATGTGCTTCATATTTATTCTTTCTATTCAATCTAGTCTGCTGTTGAATCTAACCATTAAAGTTTTAATTTTAATGATGTATTTTTATTTCTAGTTCTTTGTATTTTTTCTAATTATACCTTAACTGTTTTTGACAAAGTTGTATTTCTTCATTATGGTTTCTATTCCTTCTTTTATCATTTTATATGCTTGTATATACTTTATATACCTACATATATCTTTACTGAAATCTCTTAATTACACGTTTATTTATAATCACTTTCAGAGTTGTATATAGTATCTTTAATTCCTGTGGTACTATTTTCCAGTAGTATCTGATCATCTTTACTGGCTAATAATTTAATTATGAAGTCACCTTCACTGGAGACTGTTTTGTCCATGGATACTATGATCAATGAAGTATGAAAGTGTCCTGGGAATTATCAATGGATTTTGAAACAATTATGAGGTTTATTCCTAGTCTTAGGATTCCTGCACCAAATCGGTAATACAAATTTAGGTTATATATTATATATTATGTAGGCTGAGATTTCTATTTTTCATAGGAACTTTCCTCCTATCCAAAGTCCTAGGTAGATGGGCAAAATTCCTTATAATTTTCATTCACTGGAATACAAAGTTCTCTGTTAAATGGGTAATTCAGTCTTCTGACAGAAGCTAAGTTCCAGTTCTCCTTTCTACTGAGTTCTAAGGCTTGTAGTCCTAGCATGCACATTAAAATTCTAGTACCCAATTCTCAAACCACATAAGTGGTATGAAATTCCCATAGAATGCCAGTGCATCAGCTCCTGTTTTGGCCTTGAGTTACTTCTCCTTTGTTTTTTTCTGGAAATTATCCTTTTTTTTCTCTCTGAAGCTTGGATGCATATTGAAAGAGCTTTAATGCTATTCTACACTTTAGTTTGTTGGTATGGGGGGAGGCCACCTACTAGGGACTTAACCCACTATGTTACCCAAAGCCCCTTATTACAGTTTTTAGAACAAGTAAACTATTGTAGGGTGTACCTGATAGACTATTGACAATCCCCTAAGCATACAAATCAGTGAAAAGAATCTCAAGATGCAGATATACACAAAACTACTATCATACAAGTATCCTTAATTCATTCAACTACTTAACAAGTTATAAGCATAGTGCTAGGGACCACAGTGTAGAAGAAACAGACATGTATACCAAGAAGCCTGGATGACTAGGATAAGGGTGTTGCCATAAATATTACAGAGGTTGAGTAGAAGATAGAATTGGCAGTGAGGGAAAATTTTGTTGGCTTTTCAACCTGTTAGTCTTAAGTATCCAAAAGCACATGCAAGTGACTACATCCAGGAGATACAAGACTTATGCTTCTAAGATCTTGAATTAATAAGTTCAGTATTAACTAAAGAAAATAATAAATAATCAATATACACTAGAGAGACAATTTTTTAAGATCCAATTCCTCCACAGTAAAAAATTTACACCACATAATTTATACTAATTTCCTCTGAGTACAAATAGATACTGAGTACAAAAAAGAGACATGAGATTCCAGAGGCCTATTCCAACTCTTACCTTAAAACTCTTTATAATAGGCAACAAGGAATTTCTGCATTTGACCTATCTGTATTCCAGAAAGAAATAGTAGGTCTAGCTGTTTTGGCTTTTCAATTTCTGATGTTATGGGAAATGAAATTATGTAATGATAATGTTTACAATACAGTGTGCATTTGATACAATAATTGCATAGGTGCAACAAACACTGCCTAATACTGCTTGATAAAATAATGAGTAAAGCTTCTCAGTAAATTTCAACTTCATTTTTACCACTAGAGGGCTCCCTTATCATAATTTGATTTCTAATCCCTTAGCCACTCAAATTTTAGAAACACCAAGTACAATGACTTAAAATAACGGTTTATTCTGCAATATAATCTCTTTTTAAAATATATATATATAGTTTTATTGAGTTTAGAGAGGAAGAGAGAAGGAGAGAGAGACAGAAGCATCAATGATGAGAGAGAATCACCAATTGCCTGCATCCTGCACACCTCACACTGGGAACTGTACCTCAGCCCGGGCATGTGCCCTGACTGGGAATCGAACCATGACCTCCTGGTTTATAGATCAGCACTCAACCACTGAGCCACGCCAGCTGGGCAATAACATCTCATTTTTAAATTTACCAATAAATAATTATCAAATCACTTTATACACCAGAGGACTTTATGGACAGAAAAATGTGCTAATGTATTAACAGTTGAAGGAACAATTCCCTCCTAAGGCAACAAAAGTATGGCTGATAAGCCCTAAAATAAGAAAACTCAAGTTTTCTCATATCTCTTGGTCAGCTTTTATATTGATGGACTTACGTTTTAAGTGTTCCAGATGTCATAAGTTCTGTCACCAAAACAATGCACTTCTTTCCTTTTAGTGTGGATTCCCAGGAATCATAGAATCGAACAATATTGGGATGCTGAAGACCCTTTAACATTTCAGCCTCTTCTTTAAATCTCTGTCTCTCAGACTTTGTTAACTTTCGATCCTACAATCAAAAATGAAAACAGAATGTGGTTTAAAATAATAAAACACCAAATTACAGTTAAATTTAGATGGTAAACATGTACTAAATTATAATGATCAAGTGTTAAAATAAAAACACTACAACAAGTTTACTAATAACAATTTCCTCAGTCTATGATATGAATGTGGAAACAGGCTAAAGTTTGTTTAAGAAAACTTTGAACTATAAAGTCATGCTTAAGATTATTTTAGTAACACTATTAAATATGCCCCAAATACAATCTCATTTTGTATATGAGTTAACTTACCACTTCTAAAATAAGTCATCTATTGCTAGAGATGTGCAATTTAATAACAGGAAACAAGAATGGGTTTTAGAGGTAGAAAGGTCTAAATATAAATTCTAGTTCTATCTTTGCTTTGGTTAGAATTCCCTTTATGAATATATACCTTCAACTCACGGGAACTATTGTAAGAATTAAATAATTTTAGGAATGCTTTTATCACATGTTTAAAGCACGTGGCCCAGGCCCGGAACAGCTGGCTCCTCGGAACAGCTGCTCCTTGCCTGCCCACGCCCCAGGGCTGCCTCTCAGACATGACTAGAAACTTTTGGGGGAACTTGAGGGTCTGCTGAATCAAGTGATGAAGGCTTAGATCTGGATGTGTTGAGTTAGTATAGCGCTGGGGTGTTGATCTGTGAGTGCCTTGTGTGGGGTCTAGATGAGGTTGGTTGATCTATTTGGAAATGTCTTTTGTGTGAAGTGTATCCTTGGGCATGTGGAGGTATTATTGATTTGAGAAAATGCTAAGTAACTGATTTACTATCTGAAAAATTTAAAGTTCTGAAAGTTTAAGGTCTCTTGCCAAAAAGAGGTTTTAAAGCTAACACCTTAATTTTAATGGAGAAAGGGGAGGACAAGCCCTTCTCACCCAGAACAGGTAATCCAATTCCAACCAGCAGCCATCTTTAAACAATGTGTTCATTTACATTTGAATGGCTATACCTTTTGATAGCCTAAGGGCAAGTTTACATGTAAACAAGTTTGCTTCTCAATTCCCAAGGCAGAAAAAACAAGGTTTAAAATTATTAGATTTTAAAATTTATTCTTAGAAGTGTAAAAGTTTATTAATTAAAACAACAACAACAACAAAAAAGAGATTGAAAAACCTGATGAACAATATTAGCTGTTGATTGTAGTAGAGTCGGAGATACAGGAGGGGAGTGGACTGACAGTTCTCCAGGAAAGGGGGAGTGGTGGATGGGGAAGAGACTGAACATAAACTATGCACCTATGGATGAGGACAATGGGTGGTGGGGAGAGAGCGGAGGGTGGAGTGGGAACCTGGTGGAGGGGGGAAGAAATGAGGAACCTTTGTAATAATATGAACAATAAAGATTGATTAAAAAAAAAAAATAAAGCATATGGCACTTCACAGATTAGTTCCTACCTGAGATAAACTGGGGAAAAGCAATTAATTTGTTGTTTTCCTTTAACAAGGTCCTATATACACAAACTCTGAATTGTTCTACAAATTTAAATTGAAACTATCTCACATTAATATTCTATCAAAACAAGTAATATATATTTTAACAAAATATTCCAGGTATATAATAAAGTATTGTGTCCATCATCCAGTCAAATAATTAAACATCACAAACATAATTTAAAGCCCTCTGTGCAATTAGGTTGCCCTTCTCATCACAATTCCTTACCCTTGAACAACCACTACCCTGAATTTGAACATACCATTTCCTATAAGAGTTTTTACACTTTATTTTTTTTTAAATATATTGTTATTGATTTCAGAGAGGAAGGGAAAAGGAGAGAGAGAAACATCAATATGAGAGAGAATCATTGATCAGCTAGCTGCCTCTTGCATGCCCTTTTGTGGGGACTGAGCCCAAAACCCAGATATATGCCCTTGAATGAATTGAACCCATGACCCTTCAGTCCGTAGAATGATGCTCTATCCACTGAGCCAAACTGACTAGGGCTGGGTTTTTATATTTTATATGAAATGTTAAAATTTCATAAAATGATGGTATACAGTATGTATTTTTTGGAATTTTGCTTCTTTTTCACTCAATATTGAGATAATCTTTGATGGCATACAATATTATCTACCTTATTATTATAACTTGGCTCCACTCATTATCACTGCTTTACAGTTATCCTTTCTGAATATACAGGATGGGGCAAAAGTAAGTTTACAGTTGTTCATATGAAAATAATAAAAGAATAAACTTTTGTGTACTCACAACTGTAAGCCAACTTTTGCCACATTCTGTATTACAATTTATAAAATCTATTAATGAATCTTTAAGTTGTTCCCCATTTTTTGTTACTACTATACTGTAATAATAGTGTTGCAATGTTAATTTTGGACATACATTTAAGGGTATCAATAGGACACGTGTTCTTTTTTATTTTTAATTGATTTTAGAGAGAGAAAGGGAGAGAAAGTGAAAGAAGAGAAACATTGATTTATTGTTCCACTTATTTATACATTCACTGGTTGACTCTTTTATATCCTCTGACCAGGGACTGAACCTGAAATCTTAGCATATCAGGATGACACTCTAACCAACTGAACTACCCGGTCAAGGCAGAACACTCATTCTTAAACTTAGAGTCCAAAAAACCTTTTAAGGAAGGTTTGTGAATATGTGTGAAAACAAATACTTTTCACTTACCATAAATTGAAATTTAATATCTCCTTGAATTACTAATGTGTACACCTTAAATAGTAACTGTGATTTTGTCACCAACAGACCTAGATTATTTTCATCTCACCTAACGATAGATGCATATTATCTCAAAATAACATTTACACAAATCATTATTTTGAAATTATGATAGCTATTAGACTTTCAGTAGGTTTTATTATGCACTAATAATGCATAATATATCACAAATTTAAAATTTTGATAACTATTCAATATTAGTTTCCATTAAAATCCAATGTATTTCTATATAAACTTAAAACATTATTGTAGCTTTCACCAGCCTTCAAAAAAAGACCTGAGGCACAAAAAATATAAGAGCAATTATTAGAATACATGGCTAATAGAATTGTTAGATCATATGGGGTAGGCAGCTTTTTTTTTCATAAGGATCAACAAATTGCTTTTCAAAGTGACTATACAATTTACTCCCCTAAAAGCGTAGTGAGACATCAACAATTAGCATTATGAGACATCAAATTTTGTCAATTTGATGAGTGTAAAATCACATCCTGTTGCTTAATTTACATTTTTAAAATCAATAAGCATTCGAAGCTTTTTGTGTCTTTGTGAACTACCCAATCATATAATTTGTTTCTTTATCTTATTTGTATGAGTTCTTAATATATTCTGGATACTAATTCTTTGTTGGATTTATGATTTACAGATACATTTTCTCAATTGTAGCTTGTACCCTCACCTTCAGTTATAGCCCTACACATGGGTTTTGAATAAGCCATGATAACTGACAGCTCAATTTGTAAAGATCCCCCAACCTCCACACCTCACCTGCTTCATGAATAGGCAGGTTTGCCCAGTCTCCTCAGAATTTCTTCTCCCTGGGTCCTGGTCCATCTCCAAATTATCACTGCAAGATTGGTGTCTCTCAAAGTTCCTTAAACAGCCCCTTTCACAGTCCTTTATCACTTTATTCCCACTCCCAACTGGAAGCTGTGACCATCTACAAAGTCACATACGGTACCTCATCCACTAAGACTGAGATACATGGCAGCATAGCTATTTCATCCTGGATTATCCTTCTAAAACATTCCTTTCCTGGAGGACAGATAGCCAACACACAAGTCAAAGTACCTGAGACATGATGACGGAGGAAGATATTTATCACTTAGTTTTTAATTGCAATGTATTTTCGCTCCTTGAAGTTCTATTTGGGTCTTTGTCAATTCAACTAGAGGCTCAGTGCCCAGCCTACACCCTCTCCAATCTGGGACCCCTCAAGGGATGGCTGACTTCCCTCTCACAATCCAGGACTTCTGGCTCCCAACTGCTCGCCTGCCTGCCTTCCTGATTGCCCCTAACTGCTTCTGCCTGCCAGCCTGATCACCCCCTTAACAACTCCCCTGCCAGCCTGATTGATGCCTAACTGCTCCCCTGTCAGCCTGATTGCCCCTAACTGCCCTCCCCTGCCAGCCCAGTCACCCCTAACTGCCCTCCCATGTAGGCCTGATCCCTCCCCCCAAACTGCTTTTCCCTGCAGGCTTGGGTCCCCCACAACTGAATTTCCCTGCAGGCCCAGTCGCCCCCAACTTCCCTCCCCTACAGGCTTGATCGCCCCCAACTGCCTTCCCTTGCAGGCCTGGTCCCCTCAACTGCTCTCCCCTCCTGGCCTGATTGCCCACAACTGCCCTCGCTTGCAGGCCTGGTATCTCCCAACTGCCCTCCCCTGCCTGCCATCTAGTGTCCACATAAGGGCAGCCATCTTGTGTGTTGGAGTGATGGTCAATTTGGGTATTACTCTTTTAATAGATAGGATTATTAGATAGAATTATTAACTACTTCCAACACCATCTTGATTTTTGTTTTAGTTTTTAGTCCTTTTACTGATAACATAACTTACTTTTACAGACTCAATTCACTGCCACTTTTATCGGAGTTACTGGGGATCTAATTTTGCTATTGTTTTGGCTGCTGATATTCACTTCTATTCTTTTTTGCTATATGTGGTTATTTCAAATTGTGATGTTTGTTGGAATATCCTGTTTTGAATGTATTCCACAATCTCTAGTCTGTTTTTCATTTTACTTAATTTTCCTCTTCAAAGAACAACTTTATTGGATCTCAATCCTGCTTGGACTTGAGATTTCATTTATCCTCAGATAGATAGTAAAACTATGCCCCTTAGTTAACAGATTGGCAACTGTTCCAGAAAAGTCTTAGGGTCAAGTCACACTTTTCCTGCTCTTGTTTTATGTTTCTTCTAAGTTTTCAGATGCTGCAGATTACCCTTACCTTGTAACAAACTCAGCTATGCATTGAAGGTAATAGGTTTTTGT